TTTCATAATCTATTGTATTTCAAAGACTCAAGAAATCGATTTCAACACAAACTTAATTATATCGAAGTTTCAAAAAGAAAAATCAGTAGGAGATATCTTGGTCTGTCTCTAAAATATAATTTTATAGGGAATCCTATATCACTGAATGAAGACTGATGAGAAAAACTTTAAAAGATACAGAGGTGTCTCAAAATTTATGCTTAGATATAAAGTTCAAAAATGCAGGTATGTTTGTCAACAAATTGATTGGTTAATTGATTGATCGTTGTTTAAAGTCCATTCGAATATTTTTCACTCGTATAGAGACGTCACCATATGCCGGTGAAGGGCTTAAAATTTAGACATTTACTCGGTACTCAGGGCCATTGAGCAGCATGGGATCTTTTTTGTGCCAATGCCTACCGTGAGAGTGGTCCTAGGGTTTTAAAGTCTCATCCGAAAGGCTCGTAACTTTCACTCCAAAGCGCCGAGCGTCTGGCAAAGGAACAGTTGCTACCTTTTTTCATTAACTAAGGTTTCGTAGCAGCCGGGGCTTGAACCCCAGACTGACCTCCCGATTAATGAGCGCGTGTTCGAATCTACCGAATGAGCTAGTGACAGTATCAACAAATTGAACCCACACCCACATCAGAGTGGAGTGATTTTATGGTGGCACATTTCTGCCCCCTACATGCAGTATTTATTATGTTCATATGCAACATAATTATGTTGACATGTGACTTATTTATGTCAACTTGCAAATTAATTATGTTGACATGCAAGTTACCAATCTCTTTAGAGAATCTTATTTTAATATTGGTAAACTTGCTTACTAACGCCATTATATGAAATCATACAAGCAAGATACAATAGGATGAAGTTGACACGCGACTTATTTATGCTACCATGCTAGATAATTATGTAGACAGGCGACTTATTTATGTCAACTTGCAAGACAATTATGTAGATATGTAAGTTATGTCAACATGCAAGATAAATATATTAACATGCGAGTTAATTATGTCGACATGCGAGATATGTATGTTAACACGCAACTTATTTTCTTGCATGTTGACATAAATACCTTGCATGTTAAAATATAACACGCATGTTGACATTAATAAGTCGCATGTTAACATAAATAAGTTGTATGCTAACATAATTTTCGCATGTCTACATAATTATGTTGCATGTTAACATAAATAAGTCGCATGTTGACATAAATATCTTGCATGTTAACATAATTATCTTGCATGTTAACATAAATAAGCCGCATGTCAACATAATTCTGTTGCAGCTTGCATGTATGATGTCGTATACTGCCGTTAGTAAGTAAATTTACCAACATTGAAATTAGATTCTCAAAAAAGATTGGTAACTTCCATGTTGACATAATTATTTTGCATGTTGACATAATTATTTTTCATGTTGACATACTTTTCTTGCATGTTAACATAATTTATCTTGCATATAGGGGGCAGAAATATTCCACCATATGATTTACCTCAAATACACATACCTAGATCTAGGATGCGGCTACTGTCAAAGAGGGACTGATGTAATTTTTCAGCATACATTGTTTATGGTATTTGATAACACTGAAAAGCCAATGATTGCAAATTGGTTTGAGTTATCCGTGTTTCTGCCATTGAATCTGTCCTTCAATTTTATATTTTATGATACTTTAATTGGACTTCTGAACATGAGTACTGTTCGTTATCTTCACATTTCATACAGAATATGCACTGTAGCAATTTATCAGCAAGTGCCATGGATGATATTTTACTGGCGCTTTCTATTATCTTACTCTATTATAATGATATCAAAAACTTTTCTTTTGAAATCAAGAACGGTTTGGTATGTTTCAAGCTGGCTGTTTGGAAACAAAATCCTATGCTGCACATACTTTTTAGACTGAAAGTTAATTGAACCCATTGTAATATAAAACCCTTTTATCAACATTTTCAATTAAACAAAGCTCAAGTTCCATATTATTTTACTTCTGGAGACGAATTGTAATTTGTTTGCAGAAATTCAGCACATGAGCATAACATATACTAACTAACAGCAAATAGTTCATTTCACAGCGTCCACTAACACTTAAAATACTTAAATAATGAAAATATGGAAATAGCAGTAGTAGTGTACTTTTTATAAAATCGTAGATGGACCACCACAGAAATGTCGATTTATAAATATCAATTGGTCAGAAACAATTATTGTCAGAGATTGGGTTAAGAGAAATAACTCAAAACTACTTATTCAAATATTCAATATTTGAACTGAATAAATATAAAACACAAAAACTCAATTAATGATATGTGGAGCCTATATTATCTATGATCGTAATATAAAAATAGGCCTGACTTGATTTGATGATAAAATTGTACATTATTCAACCTTCGTGTTAATGATAAAATTGTACATTATTCAACCATCGTGTTAATGATAAAATTGTACATTATTCAACCATCGTGTTAATGATAAAATTGTACATTATTCAACCATCATGATAACTGCTGATGATACAACGATCACCAGTGATAAAAATTATATTTTGTATCGCGTTTTACGTTGCCGTAGAAGTGGAAGAGCAAAAAATTAACAACATTGAACTGTTAAATATACGTATACTTATCAGCTAAACGATTAATGCTGTATATAAAGATATACGAGGTTCTTTTGGTTATATTAATCAGACATAATATTGAAATAGCCAATAATCTATTGAAAATGATGCTATTTGTCCAAACTGCATTTCCTGTAAAATCTTATCAAGCAATACGAATGTACCTACAGGTTAACACTGATACGTGTATCATTAAAATAGCAGGTTTAGAAGATTTTATCTGTATAGATTTATTTGCATAATTAACTATGATGCAACAATTTAAATATTTTATGCTCTTAACACAGCTCTTTTTCAACTCTAAACATTACTTATATATGAATATATAAAGAACATGAAATTATTGAGAATGTAATACAGCCGTATCGATTTGTCTCAGATAAAATTTCTGCATCAGCATCTCTACATCTCTTCTCAGCTACTTCCCAACGGCGATTGCCTGGATTATCTCGCGTACCGTTTCATTGAACCAGTCGGAAATTAAAATTGACTGTTCCTACTCTGAAGAGTTCTTATTAAAGAATGAAAATGCTTGTGCTAATAAGCCAAGGTATTATTTTTAGTGCAATTTTGTATAAAGTAAAGTTGTATGTTCTATCATAAATATTAAGGTATTCAATGTTTAACGACCATATTTTGTATCTAATAAATGAATGGTCCGATATTTTTCAGCATGGTAACATTTTGAAGATGTTTTCAAAAAAAAAAAAAACAAACAAACAAACAAACAAACAAAAAAAAAAAAAAAAAAAAAAAAACCAAAACAAAACAATACTGCACCGAAGGAATTTACAAAATTTTGATTATTGTCCCATTATTTGCTTTTTGTTTTTTTGTTTGTTTGTTGTTTAACGTCCCTCTCGAGAATTTTTCACTCATCTGGAGACGCCACCTCTTGCCGGTGGAGAACTGCAAATTTTGACCAATGCTCGGCACTCAGGGTCATTGAGCAGTGAGGGATCTTTTTCGTTCAATCACCTACTGCGACAGTGGACCTCGATTTATACGGTCTCATCCGAAGGACCCGTCTCTACGTCCCATGGTGGGATTCGAACCCGCGACGTAAGGATCAACTCCTTACTCCGCTACTCTAGAGCAGACGCCCATTAATTGCACATTGAATTTTAAATTGAAGTCTATCATGAGCAGCGCATCTGTTATTAAGATATTGTTAAAAGTAATCTGAATTTCATATAAATCTCATTTAGGAATGACTCTAATTCTTGGCCAAATTATTCGAGTATAACCTGGTTTGGGTCAGTTTACGCTTTATAATCCGCGAAGCGGATTATAAAACAGCGTAAACTGACCCAAACCAGGTTATACTCGAATAATTTGGCCAAGAATTAGAGTCATTCCTTATAATTTAATTTTAAATCATTAAATAACTATGGGTGTAAAATTTCGTTGCTTTTTATTAGTTCAAATTTGCCGCTCAATAATACAACCGTAGTAACGGAAGTGATGGGAAGCGAGGGGAGGTAAAAACTGATAAATAGGCCTAGCAGCCATGTTGTTTGTTTACATGTGGTAAGATCGAATTATTGTTTGAAGTTAAAGGTACATTTATTAAATCTGGAATTTTCCATGAATCCCGACGACTGGAAATGAGAGGATTGTATGGATACAGATGATTCAGCTGGTTGTCAGGGGGGTGTGTCCCCATACCAAACCAGGTTATACAGAAATAATTTGTGTTCCTTTTTGGAAATTAACCAATCAGAGGCAAGAATACAAACAAAATTAAATTATTTTAAAATATTCATAAACTCTCTTTCTTCAAATATAAAATAAAATGAATCATTTACCTTAACTATTTTGACAAAATTAATTTTTTGCTTTTTATAAAGGGCAGACAACTGTTCAGAAACGTTTAAGGTGCAAAATAGCCGGCTTCTTATATGTTATCAGTCTTGTGAATTTGGTTCATTTCACTTTCATCGTTATCTAGCAATACATATTTAACTGGTTTAAAATGATTTAAAATTGTTCAGTTGTATCACTTCATTTTACATTGAATACCTTAAATAAGCATCGGTCCTTGAGAAAAAAATCTTTTTCTTTTTGATTTAACCTGTTGCCTTATGTTAGGTTTAACTGCTGGTAATGCTCATTCACATATGGACAGAGAACAATATTAATAGGATTTCATGTAACATACAATCAAATCTGAAGAGAATTCTTTTAAATAGCTGCTGCATGTAAATTTTGATCAAGAGAAAAGTTTAAATTTCCCATACTGTAGTATGACATCCTTTCATGCAAGGCATTAGGAAAAATGTTTTCAGAATGATAGAAAATTTATATATTAAAATCAGTTATCGATATCACAATAGAAACATATTTAAGTTATACATTTCTAATCCTCATTAATGTCAAATAAGGCAAAAACCACTTTTCAAAGCTTTACTGGTTTCATTTGACATATTAAAACAATTGTCATGCAATGAAGGCTATTTTTTCCTAAATAGACGTGTTTTCAACAGAAAGCCCCCAAAAAACCCACAAAAATTGGGCAAAGTTGATAAAATTAATATATTGACAACAAACAACCCGTGAAGGAGGTGTAGTCATACAGGTAAACATTGGTGTATGTTTCCACCTGAACCCACACATGTGTCCCGGCCTTCAACTCCAACAGCAGGGTGTTGGATCCCGTGTGGTAGTAATTTCCAGCGTTTTCCCCAGAAATAATGTAGCCCTTCTTCACACCATCTACCATAAGGGAGGTTGCGCAGTGGTGACTTCCGCTGTGGAAACAGTTCATGGTCCAGTGAAACATATAGAGACCATGGACAGGTGCGATAAAGATTCCGTCTGTTGGGTGGTAATGATCTCCAATATTGGTTGTAACATTACCGAATTTCAGAGAAAATCCCGGACTCATTCCAGATTTTGTTTTCATCCAGGCAGAAAATGCTACAAGATTCTTTCTTATCGGCAATATTTCTAAAATGAAATTAGTGTAGTGAGATAAAAACTTTACCCTGTATTACTTCGATTACTTATATATATATATATATATATATATATATATATATATATATATATATATATATATATATATATATATATATATATATATATATATATATATATATATATATATATATATATATATATATATATATATATATATTATTTATTTATATTAAAGATAATTAATGATAAATAAAAATACATGATAAAATTCATTCCATTTTCGCTATAGTAAGGAAACAATTGACTGGACTCTGTGTTTTCCCTCTGTTTTATACAGACAAATTATTAAAGTTACTAAGAATTTGTGTCTTAAATAGATTTCACTCCTTTATCTTATAAAAAAAAAATAAAGAATTGAATATTCTGTTCAAAATCATTAATTAAGAATTGAACACAAAACCTTAAATTAATACTTTTCAAAATATCTACCTTTTTTCTGGAACTTGATGACCTGTATATCAGTGATGCTAGCATTATCCTTCCCAGTCAGAACACTAGCCAGGACCCTCTCCAGGTTAGTAATGCGGGACTCAAGACTTGGAGCAGCTTTCTTTGGTGTTTTCATGGTCGTCTCATGACCAGTGCTAAAAGACGCCAAGAAGAGGCAGACAGTTATTAAATACATGTACATATTGCTCTGTCCAGTGGCAAAAACAACTGTGAAAATATAGCGTATGGCAGGATAAGTTTTGTCAAGAAGCCTGACTATTTGACTGGATTAGTAAGAGGATCATGCGTAGATAACTAACATTTGCAGTATGACCTTTTATCCTGACACTTAATCGTGTTAGATGAGATGAGGATGTAGTTATTTTTGCCCAATATTCAACAACTTAACAAAGTTTCAACCTGTATGAGGCAAAAACATGGTTGTGTATTATATATTACTGTACCAAACTTTTATCTAAGTTCTTTTGTAATAGAGAAATGTTCAAAGAACATAAAATATCTAATTACGACATTTAAACTAATCAAGAAAACATATCTGAAAACACCATAAGCTGCTCTTGTTCACGAAACACTCAATATGATTATTGTAATATATAGTAATATTGTAATATAGTAATTGATGCACCGGAAGTCCATATGTCTATTTTTCTAACAAAGATACTTTCATGTTTTCACTGACTCTTCAAACGAAAATAGATGTTAATGGTGTTATTTATAAGGTCTGAAATAACGATTGTTTCTCACAGATTTTAACTACTTATGTGGAAAACTGCTATATAAACCTATTTTCTACTGCCTATAATAACTACAAATGCAATAAGGGAATTTATGTATGTTAAAAGAGTTAAAGGAATAATGGAAAAATACAAAAAAGGATTCCCTTTAATTAATGGAAAAAGGATTCCCTTTAATTAATGGAAAATCTTTGTAACAATGGAATGTGATCAATGTCAAAATCCAACAACATACTACAGTTGAAGGCAGCTAAATGGAGTAATCCGAAGATTAATTAGTATGAAAATACGATCATATTTCATCCTACTTTTGTTCCAGATATACGATAAAACACGGTTAGGTAGAAGTCATAAGGACTTCAGATTTCACATCCTTATAACCAAGATTTTTTCTTATATCTGTATAAGAAAAATAGTGCAATGTCTTTAACAGGACTTGTTTAATTTTTATTATAACCATGATTTCCTTTTAAGACCTGTTTTACATATTTCTATAATGAGAAGAAAAAGTCACTTGCTGTGGCCTTCAATTCGACATTCAGATATATCGACGACGTCTTATCAATTATCAACAGTTACTTTCATTCAAATGTCGATTCGATATATCCCAATGAACTTGAAATAAATGACACTATAAAGTCTGTCACATACTGGATTTTTAACTGACTATAACTTTGACTAACGAGATGATTTAAGCTTTTCCATCGTTAACTTTCCTTATTTATGTAATAATATTCTGTTATCACCTATATATAATTTTTAAGTCTCCAAATTATTTCGACACTCCAGAGCATACTCACGATAAAATTTTAAAACTGAAAGATAATTTAATGGAATAAGGATTTCATCAATTTCGTTTGAAGTCAGCATTTTGTAAACTTTATGGTCGTTATATTCTTGTTAACAAATATAACCTTTCACTTGGTGGCATTTTTGCTGACATGTTTCACATCAATATTTTAGATTTTTAGTATTTTTTTTATTGTGGAGTGCTTGCGTATGAATAAGAGTTATCGTAGACCCGGAACTAGGATCATAAATACAGACTTAGAATTAAGTCCAAATTTCAATCGACCATAAAATGTTTATAACTTGTGAACCGAAAATTTAATTTACATGCAACAGCAGTTTATTGACACAAAGTGAAAAAGCATTTTCATTTTGGACTGCTAGATTTCTATAAGCAATATATAATTTTTGACTTAAGCTTTGAATGTTTCATGATACTGGGACCTTCAGAAGATTTTTTTTTTATATTCCCTTGCCAAACATTAATCACCTTCTGTCGCCCAATCCTACCTCAGTTTCCAAAATTTTGAGGATTCTGAATCTGAACTACTGATTTATCAAATAAACCTTTTAAATTCCACTAGTTTTGATATGAGATTTTAAAAGATTTCCCATTATTTTTTATGCAAGGACACACTGATCTTTTGTAAAGTAAGACAATATATCCATTGATGCAAACAAAATGATTGTTTTACCTCAGAAAATAGGTATTCTTCAAAATCAGTATACGTTTGAGAAGAATAAAGTTAATAATTGCAGTAAAACAATGAAAAAGCAAATAGAAAAGTGAAGTATAAATATGACTGAGTCTTAGTATGTTTTTCTCTTCGGGTTATTTGTTAATTTGTATTCCTTTCATTTGATAATTTGAAGAAATTTCGGACTATATGAATATTATTTGAATATGAACGTTATTTGTTAGTAAGCGGTGAGGATGTTTTAATAACTTTTTTTTTCTACATATGAATTTGAAGATTGTGAGAATCAGTCCTCGTTTCAGACCTTATTGGTAAAATAAGTTACACCTACTTTTGATTGAAGAGAGAGAGAAAGATAGAGATATCTCCATAGTCTCTCTCCTATACACATAAGCCTTTAAACTTCCGATCCATTATGTACAAATTTAAAAGGGTTTCCTGAAAATGAGAAGCTTAATAACACATACTTGTGATACGTGTCAAAACTTATAACTTCATTATTTTAATTGTTGTAATTAGATATTTCATTTATTTTGAACACATTTATATTTCAAAGAAACTTAAAGAGAAATAAAGTGAAGTGATATATATATATATATATATATATATATATATATATATATATATATATATATATATATACATATATATATATATATATATATATATATATATATATATATATATATATGTACTGTAAGCCAACTATTATTCGCGTCATCTTTTATTCGGAATTCGTCAGTTTGCAATAATTCCTCCACGATTAATTTTTTTCGCGACCGAGGAACATTCTACAAAAATACACAGCAACATAAATATATATATCATATATAATAAGATTCAAGGGATAAAGTGCAAAATTCAATTATGTTCTCATGCCCCTTAACTAATCCAATCGAATTGCTTGTACCCCTCTTTCCGCCTTATAGTACATTTCCATACTTTTTTTTCTTACTTCACAGTTTCGTTTTCATTTAACATAGCACTATGTTCATGCGTACGTTTATTGTTTGTCTTTTTTCGGTGTCTTTTTGCACTGGTCAGAAAACGACAAACAAAACTCTCCAGAAAGCTGCTGTTTCAAACCTTGAGTCCCGCGTGGCTAACCTGGAGAGAGTCCTAGCTAGTGTTCTGACTGGGAAGAATAATGCTAACGTTACTGATATACAGGCCATAAAGTTCTCGAAAAAAGGTAAATACATGTACTAGACTAGTATTAAGCCTATTTATTTAAGGATCTTAGATCTAATCAATTTAAACAAACATAATATAAATGTATTAATATAAATAATTTCCAGATTACATGTTTTATTCAAAACATACAAAATCTTTTAGTAAATGTGATACAGTGGGAACCACCCCTTCCAACAATTTCTAATATAGCTAAAAGAAATAGTTATTTTTGTTTAATTTGATAATTTTTATAATCAATAAAAAAGTAATATAACCTATATTTTTATTCAAATGCTATAATTTTTCGTTTTAGAACTATTTCCAATAAGAAAGAACCTTGTAGCATTCTCTGCCTGGATGAAAACAAAATCTGGGATGAGTCCGGGATTTACACTCAAATTCGGTAATGTTACAACCAATATTGGAGATCATTATCATTCAACAGACGGAATCTTTATCGCGCCTGTCCATGGACTCTATATGTTTCACTGGACCATGAACTGTTTCCACAGCGGAAGTCACCACTGCGCAACCTCGCTAATGGTAGATGGTGTGAAGAAGGGCTACATTATATCTGGGGAAAACGCTGGAAATTACTACCACACGGGATCCAACACCCTGCTGTTGGAGGTGAAGGCCGGAACACATGTGTGGATTCAGGTGGAAACATACACCAATGTTTACCTGTATGACTACACCTCTTTTTCAGGCTGTTTGTTGTCACTGTTTTGATTTCGTCAACTATGTATAAGCCTTCGAGTTTTCTCGCTTTGTATGGATGAATACGTTTCAAAAGAGAATTGCAACTCAGTTTCACTGTATATTTTTACTTATCGAGCAAACTTAGTACAGCTATAAAAATTTGTATACTTTTTTAAATTTGTTGAGACTATCAATTATTCATTTACTATCTTTGTGATTTTTGCTTCTTTTTTTCACCAATTTTGCCTAAAAGAAATGTAAAATTTGAATGTTATATAAATATCATTACTATTTAAAATTTATATTGATATCAATGAACATGTATCATATATTTGATGGTGTCATTTGAGAAAGTATAATAATTCTTCTTATTTTTGGCTCTTTATGGCAAGACAACTCCCGAAAGAATGATGAAATGTGAGAATGCTTAGATTTATTTACGCAGATTATCGGAGCAGTTTATTACAGAAAAAAACAACAATAAATCTATTTCTCTGAAGATACGTAAATTTAAATCATACCCTAACAAAAAAACCTACAGTTTACTATAGCTAACTATAGTTTACTATAGTATCAATTTTTTTTTACTTTAGTAAATTAAGGTATTTTACTATGGATTTCAGATTGTAATATTTTTTGTTCTTCAATTCACACATGCACATTTTGTTTTATATTAAATGGAGCTACTATTTATATATTCATATATTATTTCCAAATTTTACTTCAATGTTATCAAATTTTAGAGATTTTAAGCTTTGAAATCTCAAAAAAAGTTCCAGAGTAAAGCTTCAGAGTAAATCAAAGTATCAAAGTTTTTACTATAGTTAACTATAGTAATTTTTTTATTAGGGTAGGTATAATATATCAAAATTGTATATTTACTTTCATTTTAATATTTATCGCTAAAATTGCATTTTAGATATATATCATGAAATATAAAGGTAATGAATAATGATCAAGCTCTTTAAGAAAATTTGAAATACCAAACTCAATAACATAAGAAACGTATGACTTTTCTTTATACAACCATTCCCCACGATAAATTAAAGTCCAGGCTTTTTGACGTCATAAACAGCTGCTTTTTTTAAAATAAAAATGGAAGTCGTAAATATACTTACCTTGTCATTGGTCATTTGCAAAACTATTTTGTTACAAAAACATTCTGATTGTACACACAAGTACTCTGAAGTAGATATTAAAAAGATACTTGAGTTTCTGATTGACAATATCTATGTAGTTTTTGGATATCAGGCCTTCCAACAATCTGTATCAGAATCCCAATGGGTACCAATTGCGCCCCGTTATTAGCATACTTGTTTTTGTACATCTATTCATATGTATATGTATAAAGAATTTATTCAAAAACGTATACATGAGAAGAAAAGACACCTGCTGTGGTCTTCAATTCGAAATTTACATATATCGACGACGTATTATTAACAAAAATTTCTTCCATTCATATTTCAACTCGATATATCCCTGTGAACTTGAAATAAAAGATACCACAGAGTCTGACACATCTGTTTTATATTTGGTTATTTTTCTAGAAAAACGTTAAAGGTAACCGAACAAGAAACGTTCTATCGTCAATTTGATCGGAAGGTCGTGTGTTCGAATCACGGCCGCGAATGACCTAAGTCGATAAAAAATAGGTGGCAACTGTTCCTTCGCCAAGCGCTCGGCACTTTGAATTGAAAGTTGCGGGTCCTGTGTATGAGACCTTAAAAACCGAGGCCTCGTGTCACGGTAGGCGTTGGCACGAGAAAGAACCCTCACTGCTCAATGGCCCTGAGTCTCGAGTAGAGGTTTAAATTTGAAGCCCTTCACCGGTATATGGAGACGTCTGTATAAAAGTGAAAAATTCTCGAACGGAACGTAAAACAACATACAATCAATCAATCTATCTATCGTCAATTTCCCTTACTTATGTAATAATATACCCTTGTTGTCTGCACATGGGGTTTATATCTGTCAAGGCCATCTTTGCAAAGATTGCTTGGTTGCTCTCTTCCGACCGATTGGCTAAAAATGGTCAGACTCAAAAAATTGTTAACCTTCAGAAACAATTATTTTTTATGCATCTTGAAAAAAGATTTTGAAAATTCAGCATAGCATTGAAATTAAAATTTTCTGAGAATAAAAAAGAAATTCTCACCTACCTACCGACCCAATTTTGTCATCCCAAGTCGGGAGAAGGCAAACATTATTTTAAAATTGACTCAGTTGATTCTCTACGTAAGAGCATTCTCCAAGTACAAACACTTTCTAAAACGAGGCAAGCTATTGACAAATAAGTTGATGAAACAAGGATAACAACAGTCTCGTAAGAGCAAGTGTCCTCAGGTGAAAAATATTTATCTTGTTTATATAATGAACCGTTGCTAGATTGGATCCACAATAGGGGGTTAAAGTTAAATATTGATACCTGTATCTAGTGAACCTTCTTTTCAAATCATCTCAGTTGCAAGAACGACCAGAACACATTTGGTCATATTGATATACAAGCATCGAAGCAAGTTCGTTTAAAACATGATACCTTGGGAAATGGTCCTGAGAAGATAGAGGGATGAATTTTACTTTTGGGTATGAGCTTAAAATTCTTTTAATAACAACATTGCCTTTGTTTGTAAGGCTCATTATATTAAATGTATTTTAGAGGAACTTGGATTTAAATCTACAAGTGGTAATCCAACTTATACTCATAGTTCCCTTTCTAAGGAAGACATTCTTCAAAATCATATGGCAGTTTTGAATATTTTTAATGTTCCAAACAACAAAAATGAATTTGAATTACCATATTTATATTGGATTCCGAAACTTCCTAAAAATCCTTACAAACAGATACATAGTGGGTTCCAGTAAATGTTCAACAAAGCCTCTATCTTTACTCCTCACTAAGATATTAACAGCGGTGAAGGAGAAACTTCAAGAGTACTGTGCAACAATATATTTGAGAAGTGGTGTGAATCAGATGTGGATACTTAAAAATTCCAAGGAACTTTTGGAAAATTTGAAAACACAAGATTTTACCATAATCAACAGCTTAAAAACTTACGACTTTTCAACTTTATACACAACCATTCCCCACGATAAATTAAAGTCCAGGCTTTTTGATATCATTGACAGCTGCTTTTTCAATAGAAATGGAACTCGTAAATTTACTTACCTTGTCATTGGTCATTTGCAAAATTATTTTGTTAAAAAACATTTTGATTGTACACACAAGTACTCTGAAGTTGACATTAAAAAGATGCTTGAGTTTCTGATTGACAATATCTATGTGGTTTTTGGAGACCGGGTCTTCCAACAATCTATTGGAATTCCCATGGGTACCAATTGCGCCCCGTTATTAGCAAACCTTTCTTTGTATTCATATGAAGCAGAATTTGTCCAAAATCTTATACGTGAAAAGAAAAAAAAATTGCTATGGCCTTCAACTCGACATTTAGATATATCGATGACGTATTGTCAATTAACAATGGCTATTTCCATTCTCATGTCGTTACGATATATCCCGGTGAGCTTGAGATAAAAGATACCACAGAGTCTGACAAAGCTGTTTCATATTTGGATATTTTACTTGAAAAAGACGTCAATATTAATCTAACATCCAAGCTTTATGATACACGTGATGACTTTAACTTTTCAATCGTCAACGTCCCTTACTTATGCAGCAGTATACCTTCATCACCTGCATACGGGGTACATATCTCTCAGTTGATTCGATACGCAAGAGCATGCTCTACGTATGAACAATTTCTAGAACGCGGTAAATTATTGGCAAACAAATTGATGAAACAAAAATATCAGCTGTCTCGTTTAAAGTCACCATTTCGTAAGTTCTATGGTCGATACAATGACCTTGTCAGCAAATACAATTTATCATTGAGTCAAATGCTGACTGACGTTTTTCATACTAATTGTTAGGCCATTTTTTACACACTGAATTGTCGACGGATTTTTTCCGTTATTTCCCGATCATGACAAGGAGCACACGGCGGGTGTAACCGGTCGGCAGGGGATGCTCACTCCTCCATGGCACCTGATCCCACCTCTGATGTTTGGAGGTCCGTGTTTGCTCTGCTCCTATTTTGTAATGTTTAATGGACTTTTGAGCTTTATTACTGTTCGTTATCTCCATATATTTCATTTTAACATTTTTTTCTCTAAAACAAACTTACCATAATTGTCATTTAAAAAATAGTTTTGGTACTAACTTTTTCGGACTAGAGTCGTCTTCAACATGGGATTCGAATTTAAAGTGGGAATATATCTTCATTTCAAGAACACCCATTTATTGCATACTTATAAGCATGTGTCCTCAGATAATGCATATCCAATTAGTTTTAAAATCCATGATCCATGGCGAAAAGTTGGGGTTGCAATTAGCAGTCAAATCTAATTGGAAACATCTTTCAAACATTTCTTAGTTTAACCTATATTTGTATTCATATGAAGCAGAATTTATTCAAAACCTGATACATGAGAAGAAGAAAACACTTGATGTGGCCTTCATCTCGACATTTAGATATATCGACGAGGTATTATCAATTAACGATAGTGACTTCCATTCATTTGTCGACTCGATATATCCAAGTGAGCTTGAAATAAAAGATACCACAGATTCTAACCATCTGTTTCATATTTAGATATTTTACTAGAAAAAGGCTTTAATAGTAACCTAACAATGAAACTTTATGGTAAACGAGATGACTTTAATTCTTCAATCTTCAACTTCCCTTAATTATCTTATGTAGCAATATAGCCTTATCACCTGCATATTGGGTAGTTGTCTCCCATTGATTCGATACGCAAGAGCATGTTCTACGTACGAACAATTTCTTAAACAAGCCAGGCTTTTGACCAACCAAATTGATGAAACAAAGATATCAACAGTCCCGTTTGAAGATATTTCGCAAGTTGTATGACCTTATCAGCAAATACTGCCTATCATTAAGTCAAATCCTGACTGACGTTTTTCATATTTATTGTTAGGCCATTATTTACACGCTAAATTGTCGATGGATTTTTTTAATTTTTACCGATCATGACAATGAGCACACGGCGAGTGGGACAGGTCGGTAGGGGAAGCCAACTTCTCAATGGAACCAAATCCTATCTCTGATGTTTTTAGAGGTCCTTGTTAGTTCTTCTCTCGATTTGTATTGTCTGCATGGACTTTGAGTTTGAATACTCTGAGACATCACGGCTAAAATCAATATTTTTGAAACGCTAACAATATCATATACTTTAGTGGAAAGATTTTTCAATCACATCTTTGCTTGCAAAAAGAAACAAAAATTTGTTAACTAGATCTTAAGTTTCAATAAATGTAGGTTAAAATTGTTGAAATCATAAATTATGCATATTTTTTATGACTCAGTTGGGCGTGATGAACAAGGGAATTTTGTCTGTCACCGGTTACTTCAATCTCCAGGCTTTGTTATTTTGAAACTCTTTATTTTTTGCTTTTTCAAACTTTTTCACTCATATAGAGACGTCGCCCTATACCGGTGAAGGGCTTCAAATATTGACCTTTACTTGGCACTCAGGGCCATTGAGCAGTGAGGGTTCTTTACCGTACAAATGCCTACCGTGACACGGGGCCTCGGTTTTTAAGGTCTCATCCGAAATAACCGCAATTTTCATTTCAAAGTACCGAGTGCTTGGCGAAGGAACAGTTGCCACCTATTTCTTTATCACGGCCGTGGTTTGAACACACGACCTTCCGATCACGGAGAGAGCGCTCTATTGACTGAGCTACCGTGACGGTGTATTATTAGTCCCCTACTGGTTAAACCGGAATGGGCTATAGGTTTCCTCTGGGTGTGTCCGTCTGTCCGTCTGTCCCTCTGTCTGTCTGTCAGTCTGTCCCACTTGGTTTTCCGCACTTTTTTTCTAAACGCTTGCAGATATTGAGTTGATTTTTGGTATATAAGTGTATCTTGATGGTTACAGATTAAGTTTGCATTTCATTCCGCTTCAATGATTTTTGAAGGAATTACTACCTTTTCAATTTTTCAGGGTTTTCCGCAATTTTTTTCTAAACGCTTGCAAATATTGAGCTGATTATTGGTATATGACTTTACCTTGATGAGTTATAGATCAAGTTTGCATTTCGTTCCACTTCATTAATTTTTTACTGAATTATGGCATTTCAATTTTTAACAGGAACCAGATTACACTTGCCGCTAGGGGACTAGTATTGCTAATGCAATACTCTCAGAATGCATGTTTATAGATGTTTTGAGATCGATCACTGTTCGTTATCTTTACCTTTTTCATTGAAACAAAGAACAAACTTTTTTTTTCTCAAAAAGTTAATGTTTTTTCAATTTTTCAGTGTTATTGTACAGGTTTAGACGATTCATTTTCATGCGTTTTCCGAAAAAATGTTCACTTAACATGTTGCAATAAGTGTTTTGTAATTCCGTAGCAAATTGTAGCATCATTAATTTTGATTCAAAATTCAACGTATCCTACAGTTAATTTTAGGCAGTGCAATGTAAAATGAATATTTTATGTCGGTATATATTATCTCCTTGGGTACAAGAACGTATCAATTAAAATATAACATTATCCAATAAGAAAATTAAAAACATCCTTTATCGTAATCTTCCATATATATTAACTATCGCAGCATGACATATCATATGCTTCAACAGCAAACCTATATATTAATTTCACTTTGTTTCAAAGTTATTTACATATTGATCAAGTAAAATCTTATTTCGAAAAGCATGTAAACGCCTTGGAGACATTGTATAGACAGCTCCGGAACTGTTAATCTCCTGGATCATGGCGCTCCTAGCGCTTTTATCATTATTGTCTTCGTTCTCTATCCAGGAAATTAAAATGTTGTATTGAAATGATTTCCTTCTTGTGAAGGGGATGTTTTACTGGCACTTATTTTTTCATTCTGCAATGTAATATGTTTCTTGATAATCCATACTGTTCCTGCTGTCTTGATATCTAATGAAGGAGAAATGTTGAAATACTTCATAAACCTGACTTCACAGGAATTAAACATAATACAATATCGATGATTTAAATACATGTATATATGGAGTCATGAATTCATGGAGGAGAAAAGATTTATTTCAGTATCTGTGCATAAATGCAAAGACTTCAGATCTTAGTGTGACAACTTTTAGCAAAATTGACCGATTGATTCAAGTTATCTTTTCCATTCAAAGACTGTTCATTTTTTACTTCTTTTCCGATCTAAAAATTATAACCTAATTTGTACAAAAAGTAATTTGTAAGGAACTTCAGATTAGTATTATGGTGTCTTCATACAGGATTAAGTAAGAAAATAAGTAACTCGGAATGGGCATTTAATAAATCTTTGGATATATCTTTGGATCAGAAAAGAGAAACATTTCATGAGGACTGGGTCGCATTATACAATACAAATAATGAGCAGAGCTAACACGGACCTCTGAAAACATAGGTGCAAATAGGTGTCATAAAAGAGTAAGCATCTCCTGTCGACCGATCACACCCGCCGTGTGCTCCTTGTCATGATCGGGTAAACGTAAAATTTGTAGACAATTCAGTATGAAAATAATAAACATTTTTTTTTAATGAAAAACGTTAGTCAACATTCGGCTTAACAGAAACTTGTATTAGCAAACAAGGTCATTGCATCGACCATAGAGTTTGCGAAATGTTGACTTTAAACGATATTATTGTATCATCAACTTGTAGGTCAATAGATTGCCTCTTTTTAGTTCTTTTTAGTTCTTGCGTATCGAATCCACTGGGAGACTTAAACTCCACATGCAGGTGAGTAAAACAAGAAATCTTTGCTCAGATCTTATTTGCAACCTTTCTGTTGTACCATTAGATAAACAGTGCCAGGAGTGTATAATCTTTATAAAGCCATTTCAAAAAAGTTACTCTCACAGTTGTGTCTATTTAAAATCCTGTACAAATAAATACTACCTAAATGTATATGCCTATGTTTTATACTTTTTATTGGACAATGACACTTTCTCTGATTGTTACCTTACGCTATTATATATTACTTCATTTTTGATAATTCAAGTGAAAACAGTTTAGCGCTTTTCATCTCTTTTGAAAAAAAATATTTAAAAAGTAAGTTTTATTTAAGAAAGGAAACTTCTTTGTTTTTCTTTAGATTGATTGATTGTATGTTGTTTTACGCCCCATTCGAGAATTTTTCACTCATATAGAGACGTCACCATATACCGGTGAAGGGTTTCAAATTTTGACCTTTACTCGGCACTCAGGGCCATTGAGTAGTGAGGGTTCTTTATCGTGCCAACGTCTGCCGTGACACGGGGCCTCGGTTTTTAAGGTCTCATCCGAAGGAACCGCAACTTTCACTTCAAAGTGCCGAGCGCATGGCGAAGGAACAGTTGCTACCCATTTTTTATCGACTTAGTCAGTCGCGGCCGAGATTCGAACTCACGATCTCCCGATTGTTTTACTTTATAATTGGAAGGAGTTTTTATAATTATAGTTTGTGTACTTTTTATAGGTCTAATGAAGTATTCAGGTGAGATTATCACGTAGACATTTTTTTCAGGCGTCGTGCCTGTGTGTCCAGTTATAGGTTCCCCGCATTCCTGTTGAGTTTCAAATTAGAACTATTGCATTAAGTTTATTTATTTTGAAGAGATTTAAAAAAAAAAATAAGGGTAAATAGAAAGTTTTTACCCCTTTAAGGAGGATACATATGGTTTACTTCAAGGGTAGCAGCTTAACCCTTGATGTAAAAGTTTTTACATTAAGAGTAATTTTTACATTAAGGCTTGCAACAGATGATAAGTACACCTATATCTCTTTCCAAATTCACGCCATTGCAATTACATTCTTGTTATTAAATATATATCCAAATTACATTTGTTTTCTCATTCAATATAGTATACAACTGGTTCAATACAATTTATCAAAGTCAAAGTTTTTTTTAGAAATTAATTCTTTTTAAAAACGCTTATTACTCAACAAAAGACGAGAATGGCAAAATTTATATATAAATAACGCTACCCTTGAATCTTTGTTGTCTGATTGGATCTTAAAAAAAATCTTAAGTCAAGGAGCTGAGTGCGGGTATTCTGGACGTCAATTTTAATAAAAACTTCAAGTTTACAACTTGAACGAACATTAAAAGAAATAATGTGGGTTAAGGTTAAAATATTTTTGTCTGTTTTAATTTCACCATTTGGTCTCATCAAATTCAGTTTAAGGTGCTTTTAAGATCTGCGCAGTGTTAGAAATATTAATACTTAAAAAAAACCTATTGCAAAGAAACATCGTTATAAACAAAATATTACGCAAAGGTTCATGTATCTGGAATGAGTATTCATTAAGCATCACTAATTGCATTATATACCTTCCATTGATATTGAATGTAAATACTATTCTAATCATAAAAGTATGAGCTTAAGGTTTCATGCAGATACAGTAATGAAAGCGGTAATAACTGGTCTTGATGACGGTCATTTAAGTCCAATACGTACCTGCCAACAGTTGGCAAATCTACAAAGGCTTCATTATTAAAATGACAAGATCAAAAAGTAGTGCTAATGTAGGAAACTATAATCATTAGTACTCTACCTGTATATAAACGATCTGTACTTGTACTATATCGTAGATACCTGCTGGCTCTTGGTTCGTTCACAATGGCTCTCTGGTTAACTAGACCTGTGTATTTTGTATTTCTGGAAATTATAGATGTTATAATTTGTAAGGATTTTCACCTTGGGCTCCTTATGTTGCGGGGACAGAGAAATTGGGCTAGTTATGAACTTCAGGCTAGTGCAATATCTATTGCTGTGGACAACGCCAGAAAAGATGGACATTTCTTGAACCACACCTTCAGGTAAGTTTTGAAACTTGGAAAAGTAGTAAAAATAACCAATAAACAAGTTATTAATAACTTACAAGTATGAAAAAAATCTAGAAAATATAATTTATTTTTACGGTCAGATTAAACTATTCTGAGGAATAAAAGTTTTCATTGATCATATGCCCTTCTAAATTAAATACTGAAAAATGTATTCGCTATCAAATTTATTAATATTGATGTTTCAGGATGGTATCATGTTATGGCTTTTTAGACGAAAATGTCGGTAAATAGTGATTAATAATCTTAAATATGTGCAATTTTAAAGCAATCAAATTAATCGGTAGACTGAATATGAGGTTTTTAGCAACTTAAATTAAAAACCATCAACTGTTGTTCGGTATGAAAATCTTGGTTTACAATTCTAGTACATTTTTATTAATAAATGTAATTCAGTTTTGAGAATTCGAATTAATTTAGGAAAGATCGGATATTTTAAACCCAAACATATTTCACGAAGCACGTTATTGCTGCTTCATGAAAATATTCCTGTGTGATATGTATTAATGCATCTCCTTATGAACTGAAAAAAACCCCCTAACATTACGACTATTCATATTTCATTCAATAACACTGAAATTGACAAAGTGCCCTGGATGTATTTCCTCAATTCACTTAAAAAGGGTCATGAATCTGGCTGCGAATTTACTCCAAATTTCTTAACATTAAAAAATGTCGCAAATATAATTATTTCATTTCCGTAACCTAAAATATACAACAGAATTGCAAAATTATCGTTTTTCTGATAATATTATCAGCTTCAAACTTCTTTCACACACAAAGAGAAATAAAGTTTTTAAATTAAAACGACACTGTGACGCACGCACGGGAAAATTGACAAACATAGAATTTTTACATGACCCTTACAAATTTTGTTCAATTCCTAAAAGTATTAGGTTTCAGAAAATTACAGGTTTGGGAACCTAAAAAAATCTATTTTTATGGAGAAAAAAATATTTTCTGTATAACCCAACACGAAAATATATGTTACTATTTCCTCCTTATTGTACGCGTGCGCAGAAAAGTTAAAGAAGTTACCATGGTTTCAAGTACCAAAAAATGAATGTCGGTAGACCAAGCATTTTGATACAATCTTCAAAAAAGATTATTAGAACATTTTTCTCACCTTTGCATGCTCTGATTGAATGTTGTTTACAAGTTAATACGCTAAAAATAAAAATGGCATGACCGTGACATGCACGATAACAACGAAACGGTAGATACGACCTTTGTTTTTCCGGCACTTTTATTGTGCAGTCTTCCCCTGCTCTGCAGTGCAATTTAGTTGTCATATTCTCGCTATATTCGTAATTTTCATTAATCTTTCGCTTTATGATACAGATATCTTAAAAGAAACACATGATTTTGACTCATTATATAACTTTAACGCAATGTAATTAAAAATATTAATCGTCTTTTAATTTTGAGAGTAAATCTTATGTAAAGGCATAGATTTATAGTCAAAACATTGATTTATTTTTTCAATTGTCACAAATACACTCCTCTACATTTATTTATTACATACTTAGTAATACATACAGGTTTTTTGCCTGACGTCACAATAACCGTACCAGCCCTGCGCGGCTAGGATAAGGCTGTCCGAAGGCTTAAAATGCACTCAAACAAACTGGTTTATTTAGTCTTTGATTTCAATTTGTAATTTAGGTATAAATGTACAGCCAAATTGCGAATAGAGTTTTATCAGGTATAAAATAACATATTTTTGTGATGTCACATGATGTCGGTGATCACGTGATGTTACTTAATATTTCCGAAATGTAGCACAAAAATCACATCGGCAGAAGTGATAAACAAAATTATTGTGAACTCGTTGTTATATGAATCAATTAATCATAACTGTTCACGGTAGCTCAGTCGGTAGAGCGCTCGCTCCGTGATCGGGAGGTCGTGAGTTCGAATCTCGGTCTCGACTGTCCTTCGGATGAGACCTTAAAAACCGATGCCCCGTGTCACGGCAGGCGTTGGCACGATAAAGATCCCTCACTGCTCAATGGCCCTGAGTGCCGAGTAAAGATCTAAATTTGAAACCCTTCACCGGTATATGGTGATGTCTCTATATGAGTGAAAAATTCTCGAATGGGACGTAAAACAACATACAATCAATCAACAATCAATTAATCATATCGTATTATATATATAAATGCTGGGGGAAAGTCTGAATGTTATTTAAATACTAAAATATTTTATGAAAACTTCATCTTACAAACACATATGAGGGTATTTTCCACTCTTTATAGCAATTAATACAAAATAGGCTATAAAGCAAATTATCCCCAGCAAGATTCAGTTAGAGAACATACTACTCTTGTAGATTCACACAGAATATCTTCAATTTATCCTTCTTAATCACTTGTGCCAGTCGAATTTATACGCGATGTATAAATTCTTACTCTGTCTGAGGACGTGTAACGGGGAGCATTTCACATTCTACTTTTTTTTTTTTTTTTATAAATGTTTAAATACGTTGTATATCAGACAAGAGAAAGAAATCACGATATCAATGCAAATATTCACCATTATACTAAAGCTTATAATTAATCCAGACACTTGAATTCAACAACAACGTAAAATACATTGCACATGTCATAATACAGGAATGTAAAATTTATGACACTCTCCCGTCATGTCAGCTCAAGTTTGCAGTAACATGACGTCGTATGCTATTATGTCGTCATATCTACATGTAGGTAGTTCAGAGAAGTTACTACTGTTGGCGCACTGTGATCTTATACAGACAGCCTTATTCTGTCACAGATTTACATGTACATGTATATCACACTCCTAGTAGATTGAACCTTAAAAACAGTGCTTATGATATCACAAATATTTTTTTCACATTTTACTTATTTTATATATAATAAGCTACATGTCATTAGTCAGTGCATGATTATTTATTTGTACTTTTTTATGTTGATGTGTGCTTTTTTTTTATTACTAAGTAATAAAATGCAATTAAGAGGGAAATCTGGCTGATAATGGTGTCTCGGGCAGATACAGGATGTGATATGGAGGAGGGCGTGTATTATTCTCTATATATATTATCCTTATTCAGTTTTTGAAATAAGAACCTAAAGAATACACATCCATTTTACTTTATACATTTTTCCCCTCACAATATAATGATTTTTTTCTGTAATACACGGCTGACTATTACTGATTTAAATTGTCTTGATCAACGACGACTTGGGTTGATAAAGCCATGATGTTAGTTTTCAACTCAGTGATTTTTCCCCCTTACTTACTTATATATTTGTCATTTATTATTTCCCTCTCAATTGCATATTGCGTTCGTTGTTTTTTCTTCCCTTATCTTGTTATCAATGTCACTATTATATTCAAACAATATTGATCATATGTAATTAGATAAAATTCAAATCACATCGGGAGATGATTGGTGATTCCTGTCGCCATTGTTCACACAGCATTTAAAGCATTTGTGTTCATTATATTTCTTCTTTTCAAGAATTAGTTTTATTTTGAAATTGTTATTTGAACAATGAAATATATATAAATTACGAACAGTATTCAAGCTCAAAAATCCATTCAAACAATCCAAATTAGGAGCAGAGCAAACACGGACCTCTAAAACATCAGAGGTGTATCAGGTGTCATGGAGGAGTAAGCATCCCCTGCTGACCGGTCACACCCGCCGTTTACTCCTTGTCTTGATAGGGAAAAAATGGAAAAATCCGTAGACAATAAAGAGTGTAATAATAATTCGTAGACAATTCAGTGTGTAAAAAATGGCCTAACAATTAGTATGAAAAACGTCAGTCAGCAATTGACTTAATAATAGATTGTATTTGCTGACAAGGTCAATTGTATCGACCATAGAACTTTCGAAATGATGACTTTACACGGGACTGTTGATATTCTTGTTTTATCAACTTGTTTGTCAGTAACTTACCTCATTTTAGAAGCTGTTCATACCTAGAGCATGCTCTTGCGTATGGAATAAACTGAGGGATATAAGCACGGTATGCAGGTGATAATGGTATATTGCTGCATAAATAAGAGAAGTTGACGATTGAAAAGTACTCATTTGTAGCAAGAATCTATATTAAACTTTTTAAGTTTATTTTGTAATCAGGAAAATTAAATATCTATTTAAAATTCAACTCGTGGAAAAACTTGGTACATGTATTGTTAAATTCAACTTGTGAAAAAAAATAACGTAGGATTAATTGTGTATTCTTCGAGAAAAGGGCATCCATATACTTGTAATATAATCTTAAAGTAATCGATGAGATTGGAATAATATAAAAAATAGTTTCAATGCTTATCCTATATATCCAAATAAATAAATTAATAATTATCGTTACATTTGATTACAATTAATTGGATACTTGAAATGACATTGAGTACGTGTCTATCATGTAACACATCTACACATTTTTAATATTCTTATTGAGTTTCAGTAAGACAAAAAAAATCGAATATTAAAAATATGAAAAAATCGTTTTTAGAGTTTTGTGACAAAATTGATCTGTAAAGTGATGTTGTAAATATATATTCAAAACAAAATTGAGATACTTTGTAAAGGTATTTGCACAAGTGTTAGCAAAAAGCACCTTAATATATGGAAATTATTAGCATATCAGTGCTTCATTTTCGTTTTTCTATCAATTTCCCTTTGCTTGCCTATATATACATACTTTCCATAGTCACAAGACTTACTTGGTCACTCAAATATTGTGTGCACTAAAATGTTAATCACAGCGGGTGTGCCCGGTCGTCAAGGGGATGCTTACTCCTCCTATGCACCTGATCCCACCTCTGGAATTTCAGGGGGTCAGTGTTTAATACCCTGTTCATAGATTTGTATTGTTTGTGGATTTTTTTGAGATCGATCACTGTTCGATATCTTCACCTTTTCCATTCATTCTTAAGGTTAAGTATACAATTTTCACAATAGATTTTATTTTTGCTCTATCTATTTCTGGAATATATAAATT